TCGTGTCATACTTAGATTCATGTTGAAAAATAGTCATCCCTAATTTGCTAATTTTATATATTGCTTGAGTTGTGTCGAAAATTCTCATCCTTACTCTCAATTAATTTTAGTTATTATAAGATTGGTAAGCTAAAAAATAAAGATTCAATATAACTAATTGAAATTCAACTATTATATATATATATATATGTTATCTAAATTTTGTTAAATGGTAATGCAATAGAAATAAATTTTTATCCTTTTTGTTTTATCCAAACAAATATATACATATATTTTTAGATAATGATATATAAAGGGTCCAATTTAAAAAATTCACCTTAAGCCCCTAATAACTCAGGGCCGGCCATGATGTTAACCTATGTCTAGTGATGAAATTTGTATGCAAATTTTATGTCTTAATTGATATATTTATTAGTGTTTAACATTACTAGGTAGATTATTATTTCATATTACCTCTAAACTATTTAAATTTGGGAAAATGTTTGGTAGCTCAAAATTTTGTGGCTCAAATGGCTCAAATCTGTCAAAACGACGTCGTTTTACACTCATTTACACTCAAAACGACGTCGTTTTGAGGGATTTGAGCCATTTGAGCCACAAAATTTTGAGCTACCTAGCATTGTTGTTAAATTTGTTCATATAATCTAGAGCATCAAGTACTCAATATCATTTAGTTTTCAGTTAAATGTCTTCCATTTTCTAACATAGAGTTTTTTGAATGGTCTCTCTAGCTATATTTTTGGCTTAAGTCGGTTTTGTTGTAAACTAAGACACGAAATGCAAAACTAAATAGTAAATAACGTCAGAAAATGGGACTGGTCTGCAAGTGTTTATGAAACACTCTTCTTAAGTGTCACGACCCGAACCCGCCCCTATAGGTTTAGCATCGTAACCGGCCAGTAATCCTTAAATTACCAAAGGCCTCTGAACAGATGAACACAAATAAGGGGCTAGCGGAAGCAAATACATAAATATAATTGTCCAATGAGCTGTGCTGACTTATATGAACGGAATATTTAAAACTTTATATACATATCCAAAAGTCATTCTTACATTATACCCACACACATTATAACGTCTTAAGTACAGCCAACAAAAACAAAATAAGTCTCACATACAAAAACAACCAGAACTTATAACACATGATACTTCCGGAACCTCCACGTGAGGCACAATGGTTGGCTGACAACAGAACACAGATCCAGACAAAAGCTTTCAGGGTCGATCTCCAAAATGCCCACCTATACATATATATACACACAGTGAGCTAAAGCCCAGTGAATAACATTAAGGTAAAGAGGTTAGTGAACGAATTCCGAACATTTCATAATCATAAGACAAATCATAACATAATCATCCTTATATCTGAACATACTAATGGTACATCCCATAGAACACATCACATACCGTCTTCCGACTAGAGTAATTGGTTTCGAATACCAATTAAACACATATCACCACAGTGAAATGACTAATGAGATCTCGTACTCACATATATGTCATGGACCCGCACTTACATGACGTCCCCCATTACTTGGGACTATCTATGGATGCCATAATAGATTGCAAGCATAGGACATTCGTTCACGTAAATAATCATTTTACAAATCATGACTTAACATATCACATTTGGAACATAATTCATATGAACATGTCTTTACAATAACGTTACTCACAGTGGCTCCCGTAAATGGTCAATCAATCTTCGGACGTTGACCTACAGACACAAAAGTACATAACACAAACATATCATATCATTACACATTCATATGGCCATCACGGCTTAGCTTTCTTTACGTTGTTTTTCTTATCCGGTCTAATTCTCATCTCATAAACACGTGAATCACATTCTTGAGTCTTGGATTAGCCTCATATTTTCTAAATCAATCACTCATGTTATTTCTTGGCTCATTACTCTTAAAGGACTCACAATTCATGCCTAAATATGCTCAGAAAATGATGGGAACAAAAATATGAACACTAAATGCCTTTTGAAAATATGCTGAATTTGGTCTGGTCGCTCGAGCGTATCTTTGGTCGCTCAAGCGGACTGGTCTTCCTGAAAAAATAATGGATGGTCTCAATCTATGCTCGAGCCACAACTCCTGTGCTCGAGCAGATCAACAATATACAAAGGGTTCGCTCGAGCGTCCAAGTGGTAGCTCGAGCGGGTTATAATAGCCTGCAAAACTACTAGATGCACAAAATGTCCTATCGAGTGGCAAATCCCCCGCTCGAGCGACCTTCAAAAATTCTGGGTTTCCAAAACAGAGCTTTGAGCCTCCAAATGCAAATTCAATGGCAAATTTGTGCATGGCTTATTTATAAACTTGGAAAACTTATTCATAAACATGAACATATGATCCTTTATAAACCATTTTTGCTCAAAACTCATGATTTTAGTCAAAATTGAGTTCGACATTCATGCATGTAAAACCTTTCAAGCTCTTTTCTTCAAAACTCATGAAGTTAGCAAATTTGAGCTCATAAACTCCATGCATGTAAGGAATTATTTTCCAAAACATGAAACCAAGGTTCAAACATTATAATTCAAACATGCATGTGCCAAATAACTTATTTTAATAACTTAGATGCTCAAAATTAATTCACATGGCAAGACTCTTCATGTTTATGCATGTATGAATTACAACCAAATTCTTCATTCAAAGCTCAGTTTACACATCTAAACACATAATCTTCAAGTTGATAAAGATTCATAAATTGGGGGTTGAATTCTTACCTAAAATCTTTAAACACACTTGTTCTTACACAATCTTGATGAGTTCAACACAAAATCTTCAATTCCTCTTCAATCTCTTCATTTCTCTCTCTAAAATGAGAGTTTCTCTCTCTACAATGTAAATCTCAAATTTTGGGAGCTCAAAGTGTTGAAGAAACGAGCTTAAGAATGAGCTTAAAGGGTCATATATAGTCATGATGTCATAATACATTAATTAGAATATAAGGCTTGCCAAACGCAACTTAATTAATCAGATTGAATCAATTTTTTTAATAAAATTGCCATATGGTTCTAAAAATTCCGAATAACATATTCATGTAACCAATTCCGATTTTGGATGTCGATAAGGCTTTCAATTTTCATATTAAAGCAGAATTCCAGACAGATATTTCTACAAGTAACAGATAGAAAGCCAAAAATCATGCAAAATACATAATAAACACATAAGAATAGTGATGTCTGATGAAATTTATTTTTGTAGCCTTACTTTGGCCCATAACAATGACCCAAACCATTCAATGAAGATCGTCTGCGCAAAAAATAAATTTCATCAGATATCGATTAATAGATAACAAATCACATTTTGTTTTAAAAAATGGACGATTTAAGTGAAAACTCATAGTTGTTGTATATTTTAAAAAATAAAATGTAATCCATTCGTGTGTCTAGTAATATTCAATGAAGTTGATATTTTACACAATTAATTTTTACTGTTGGACCTAAGAGATAAATGATTCGAATCATCAATGTGAAATGGGGCACATGAAATAGAGTAAGGAAGAATATTAAGAATAGTCATATGGTAGGAAGTCATTCTCCTCACTTCTATAAAGATATAAATCATTTATTTGACAAATTAAGTTAGATTGGATTATGAGTACAGTGAGATTATGGCCTCGTTTGGGAATAAGCTATTTTAGTAATTTTTTGATTTTTTGACTAAAATATGAGGTAAAAAAATTAATATGTTTGTGGTAACTTTTTGACTTTTTACGAAAAGATGTGTAAAAAGTAGAGAGAAAATGAAATCTTTGACTTTTTTGTATAAGTTATACGCTTTTTGACTTTTTTAATAACTTTTTGATTTTTTGACTAAAATATTAACTTGCCAAACGAGGCCTAAGTGAAGAGATTATTAATGTAATAATATTAAGTTGGAAATGTGAGATAATGTGTGTTTGTTTTTGCACTTATGTGGTAGTATTAGTTAGTTAAGACAATTATAAAAAAATTACCTAAAAATTCCCCTCACATATAATATAACTTTGTTGGTTTTGTAAATGGAGGGGAAAGTGATATTGAACCATCACTATGTGTGACGGAATTGGCAAATCCCAACTCTATCATGGGAATGCTAATCCCACCATGGGAGGGGATTTATATTCCCACAAGATTACTATTGTGACATTTTATTGCACACAAACACGAGTTAGATGGGTCCCACAGATTGATAATCCAATCTTCCCTCCCAAAACCCCAATCAAACATGTGCTCATAATTAATTTTCTTGACGCTATGTATTGATTCATAAATTAGGAATAGATTTTTATAAATAGCAAAAAAAAGTGGTGTAAAACTAAATAAAATATATTTTACATATTTTCCCTTTCTATTTTCAAGGCTCTCTCCAAATCCTTAAACCTAACACAACCTAATGCTATGTTTGGTTGGATGATTTGATGAGAGATTTGGAAAGAAATGAAAAAGGTAGGTGAAATGTGAATAAAATATACTTACATTTCACCTAATTTCACACATTTTTTTCCTTTCCCTTTTCAAATTACTCTTCAAATTCCCCAATCAAACACAGCGTAAGAGTTGTGAAAGTAAGCTTCAAAAGTAACTTCATATGTGGTCACTTTTTTCTTGGTGCATCCAAATGTTAATACTTCATAAACAAAAATACATCACAGTAGTTCTCGGATGGGAGATCTAGAAAATCCTTCTGTTGCATCTCCATTTTCGTAGGAGAAAACGGATCAATTCAATCATTCATATTCATTATTAATATATATGCCCATTACCACTTCATTCTGAAGGGCCATTTACATATGCTGACGGCTCACACTACAGAAAATGAGTCTCATATAACTTTGAAAGGAAAAACAGTTGACGTTATGTTAACCCCAAAATATAGAATTTCTATTTACTGATCTATAAAAACCAACAGACTATATATCTCTTGCACAAAAGATGACCTATTAGTTTCTTTAACCTCTCACAAAATTGCCACAAAAAAAAAAAAAAAAAAAAAAAAAACTCCTTGAGATATACAACAATTATGGTGGAGGAATTTTTTAGGCAACTTGCTACCGGGCATCTAGCATTGTAACCGTGACTCGGTTCACAGTGCACGATTCATCTTGCTTGCTTGTTGACGAATCTGTTTCCACCAAGTGCCTTCCCAGGCAAAAACCGGGATGTGTAGGTTGAGGCAGCAAAGCATTTTCACTGCTCAACATCAGGACTACAGTCGACATGGTTGGTCTATCTTCTGCTCGCTCTTGGACACATAATAGTCCAACTTGAATGCATCGCATAACCTCATTGGGGGGATAAGAGTCACCAACCGAAGGATCCACTAGTTCTAACCCCTTCCCTACTCCCCATAGCCTCCATGCCTGCACCATTTTTTTAGTACAAATTTTCAGTTAGTCCTAATAAAGAATTTGAAGATTTTGCAAACCATTTTTAAATAAAAATTCACACTTACGTGTCCAAGAAGGTTATGTTCCTGGTTTGCATGGTAAAATCCCCTGTTCTTCTTGCCAGTTACTATCTCTAACACTAATACGCCAAAGCTGAAGACATCAGATTTCACTGAGAAAATGCCATCCATTGCATATTCAGGAGCCATATAACCACTGCATAACATATAACATACAAAAATTAGTATTTGTAAGGTAATTGTATTAAATTTTGGTGTAATAAGTACAAAAACCTTTCCCTATGGTACTTACTAAGTCCCAACAACTCTCATTGTATTTGCTTCCGTCTGATCTCCTCCAAAAATTCTTGCCATGCCAAAGTCTGATATTTTTGGATTCATTTCTCTGTCAAGTAGAACATTACTTGCTTTGAGATCCCTATGGATAATTCTAAACCTGGAATCTTGGTGAAGATAAAGAAGCCCTCGAGCAATCCCACAAATGATGTTGAAGCGCCTTCGCCAACCCAACAAAGAGCGTTTCTCTTTATCTGGAAGAAAACTTTTAAATTAGACGACATGAATACTGAACAAAATTGATTTTTCTGTGCACATTTCTGTGAACATAACATTGTCTAAACTCAATACATGTCTAGTAGTGAGAGGGACTAACTGAATAAAATGGAATCGAGGCTTTTGTTTTCCATGTATTCGTATATCAACATCTTTTCTTCCATCTCAACACAACAACCGAGGAGGCGAACAAGATTTCTGTGTTGAAGCCTTGCAATCAACCTAACCTCATTCTTAAATTCTTCGACTCCTTGCCCTGAATTCTTCGACAGTCTCTTCACTGCGATTTCTTGACCTTCAACCAACAGTCCCTGGAATTTCCATCAAAAATATCGTCACAAGTATCTTTCTGGGTATCCTGTGATTTTTATGTAATAATTTTAATTAATGTGTTAGTGATAAAGAACTTACTTTGTAAACAATGCCAAAACCACCTTGTCCTAGTTTATTTTCATCACAGAAATTGTCTGTAGCCACTGTTATGGTACCAAAGTCAAATAATGGAAGCTCTAGTTCATCTGTTGTACTTTCACCTGAATAATCTCTTTTGTTCACAATAAGCCCTTCACTTGTCAAGATATCCTGACTTCTTTCATGAGGACCTGTTATTTTATGGAAAGAGCGACATGTAAGTAAGAAAAGTATTACAACAACGAAAGGGATTCTCTCTAATCCACACTGTTGGACTGAAGGGGTGCGGTTTTATTCCGACGATTTGAACCGTTCATTTTGTAAGATTTGTGGGTAGATTACCATGAAACAAATGAGATTGATATGATATTCATAGCTATATAATTTTATCTTATTTGTTTTCGAAAATAGACGACAAGTATAATTTACATACAAAACTTCACAAAATAAATGGTTTTGGTTGTCACAGTGGGATCCGTGATGGCCCCACAAGCCCCAATTGCACCACTCCAATCCAACTGTGGCCTGGAGAGAATCCTTTCCCTAACACCAATGCTACAAAGCTCAAAAAACAAAAAATGAAAAAGCTAGAAAATGAAGTGTGGACTCGATTAATTCTGGACGTGACCTACACTATGTTTGAATCTATATCATACACTTCATTTTCTAACCACTCCTTGAATTATTTTTTTGGGCAGCGTAGCTTTATTTCAACAGGTATGGAAAATAGTATGAGCTTATTAGTACCTTTATGCTCTGTCTTTTCTTTCAGTACCCTCTGCATTCTTTTTTTCTTCCATACTAAAAATATACCAAAACCCAATAGCAGAACACCAAGACCAAGTATAATGCCAACAACCTCAACAGTCTGTCCAGTTTTGTGAGAACTGTCTTTAGATCCTATGTTCCCAGCTGCTTCTGAAATGAGCAAACTGATAATTAGTGATGTTCCATGCTATCTAGGCACATCTACAAATGTCTTTATGAATTTTGTTTTTCACATATGGTGAAATGCCAAAAACACAAGTTGATAACACTAATTGGTGAATGTAAGAAAGGATTTTGAACCCATTTTACAATCCAGTTCTGTGAATCCATCCAACAATCCAATGTAGGATCCGGATTTTGACAACCTTAAATAAGCTTTGACTACTACAAAAACACAGTAATTAATAATGGTGTAAACCAGGTTACATGCTATGAAGCACGGACACCTCCCCGAAGGTCGCGTACAGGTGTCTGACACGTGTCCAACACGGACACGCGCAGCTATGGACACGTGTCGGACACGCTGGAAAGAATTGGACACGCTGAGGACACACAAAGAACACCTGAGGACACGCTTAAGGACACGTTGAGTACTATTTTTTTCAAAAAAAAATTAAAATTTTTAATTTTTGTACTAAAATAGCATACCTAAGGTTGATAAATTTGATAAAATTAAATAGGACACAAAATACATATTAAATATTTAAAAATGTACATATATTTTTGAACGTGTCCCCAATGTGTCATGTCCTGCATTTTTTGAAAATGTACGTGTTCACGTGTCCATATTGTGTTACGTGTCCATATTGTGTCACGTGTCCGTATCCGTGCTTCTTAGGTTACATGCCTGTGAAAGTTTATTCTTCCTTATTAATCTTTATAACATAAAATTAATCAAATTACTTAACAATGCATTTGAGAAATTTGGATCCCGTATGCTACAAGTCAAATCAACATAACTTTGTGGTATTTATGGGATTCAGTCACTTCTTCAACAAGAGTTTGGTGAAAATGCAGAAATGTTCATATCAATGGTACCATATTGAAAAACAGTGAAACTAAAATATAAATAATTAACGATGTGTTTGGTTGGGGGATTTGAAAAGAGAAAGGGAAAATGTAATAAATAATTCACCTAGTTTAATTCACCTAGTTTCACATACGTTTTCCCTTTCCCTTTTCAAATCCCTTCCCAAATTTCCTAACCAAACACAGGCTAAATGAAAAGTTAGATTGTAGAGAAGAGAAAAGAAAATCAAATTCCATTCAGAATCAGGCTGGGAATTTGCAATTGGGGAATATGACCACACACAAGAATGAATGCTAACATAAAATCAAAAATGTAAAAATAAATAAAACAAGAGTATGTGACATAATAGCAATACAATACCACACACCCAGAAAAACTACCTCAAAACGAAATGTGTGGACCATATTTATTATGGGTATGTCCACACCATACTTAAGTTTGAATCAATATCATACATTTCATTTTTGGATACTTCTTGAATTTGACATAGTTTTTCCTTTTATTTTCTGTGTGACCCCATAAAATAGTTGTGAAAGGAACATGTAGCTAGATCTAAGCTAACTAACCCCAGTTATGGTGGGCTCATTGGAGTTAAGGGACTCGCTGAGAGGAAGAGCTGTCTTGTGTCTGTGTACACACTAGCAATTATATAAGTTGATGAGATTAATTAATAGTAGGCCAATTAATTACTTCATGTGATAACCAATTCTAATGTAGATTTTTTATGGTTATCTATGGTAGGTATGCTTTATTAAAAGTTCTAAGGGTCCAATCACAACAATTATCATGATAAAGACCTCGACAACCACCACACATTAGCAATATGTTCACATCACATGGAAGTTCTATTAAAAATAAAAATAAATAAATAAATAGACTGCTACTGTTCTAGAGCTCAAAAAGCCTCTAAATGAATTAAAAAGTTTGCTTGCCTCTCCTCCGTTCTAGGTTGATAGAGGCTGTAACATGATGCGATTATAAGTGCAATTTGTTCTAATTATGTGGCACGGTTTCAAGTCACTGAAATCAACCTCTCCACAAAGGAATTGATGAAGTAAGGTTGTGTTTTTTACTGCATCTCTTAAATCCAACTCTAGGTTGCCTAGAGCATTTTGGACGACATTTCTCTACATATATGGGTTATACTAAAAACAGTTTATTGGGCCGTTGCAAGAACATATTCTATATATTTTTTTATTTTTTTTTGAATATATACTTTTTACGCATGCATCGAGATTAATGACAAGCTAAAATCCATAGGAAATGACAATTTTTTTTTTAGGACCGAAATACAGGATAAAAAAATGTTAGGTAACCTGAATTTATATGGTTCGAATGTGTTAAAACGATATCGTTTTACACAATAAACGACGTCGTTTTGAGATACTCGAGTTAAGAAAATTCTGACCACCTACTTCTAAGGAAATGAAGAAGAGGAGTAGCTAAGCGGCGAGAGTGGATGAACATGCAACAAGTAGCAGGTGGTACACATAAGAATTCATGAAGCTTTATGCCACCTAACTTCGTCTCTAGCAAGGTCTAAACCACTAATTTTTCATAGGAGAGTGTTAGGGTGATACCATTGGATTACAAGTAGTTATCACGAAATGACAACTTATAAAAACATTACTAACATTTTTTATTTCAATAAAGCTCCTATTTTTGAATAAATTTGAGTATTAAATTTGAAATAAAAACACCTATTTGTATTATTATGACCCAAAAATAAAAAGAAAAAACGCTGTCCACAGAAATTGTGGCTAAAGCTAATGAATAATGAGACAAAAACATTCGGTCCCTACTTTGATGAGTGGGGCCCATATTAAGAACTTCCGGTGACTGGACCGCAACAACACCTGGCAAAGCTGGATTTACCAGCTTGAGTTTCTGATCTTAAACAGAGTCCATAAGGGCCCACACAAGTATTCCTCTCCCTCCCAAAATATTTGATTCAGTGCAGTACACTGTAGAACTTCCGGTGACTGGACCGCAACAACACCTGGCAAAGCTGGATTTACCAGCTTGAGTTTCTGATCTTAAACAGAGTCCAAAAGGGCCCACACAATTATTCCTCTCCCTCCCAAAATATTTGATTTATTGCAGTACACTGTAAAGCATTACACATTAATTTTTCCCTTTGTTATATACTATTATATTAAATTAAAGAGTAATCATCTCTCTTAAGATTTACCGTTAGCCTTATATATATATATTTATAATTATATTAATCTCATTTTTAATAAAATTAAAGTGATCAAAATAAATACAAATAGTGAGTAAATACTAAAATAAAAATATATATTAATAAATAATAATATTATTATTTTTTATTTATATAACTAATAAATTATTAATAAAAAATGATTAAAATATTACATTATGTGAATTAAAACCTCAACATAAAGTAATATTTTTTAAAAAGTATTTAAGACTCATATAAAATTTATCACAATTTTACCCATATTGATATAGCATGATAGATATTAATATTTAATTTCTGACACCCTTAATTATATAAAATTTATTTTTTTTATTAAATTATTATGAATAAATTTAAAAATCTAAATTGTGATTGGGTATCTAGTGCTTTTAATTTTGTTCAAACATTAAAGGAGGTGAGTTTGATTTATCCCAAATTAAATGGTTTGGTCCAAACGAAGAGTCCGAAAACTCCCCACCAAAAGTCAAAAAGAGTCGGCCCCGAGAGTATGGGGATTTGGAGCCGAACTTGAAACGTGTTATCCATTTTGGCGCATACGGCCACAAAATTAACATTTAAAAAAAAATTTATAAACACAAAAATTCACTAATGAAAATGATGCACTACTATTATGTGCAAGTAAATTATTGAGCCGTTTGAGAAGTTGATTAATTTTTTTGATTTTTTTGCCTTTTATGTGCAGAAAATATGACAAGTAATGTAACTTAAAATGAATTAAAAGTTAAAAATTAATTTTTAACTAATATTCCGAATTACACATATATTGATATTTAGGATCCTTCAATAAACTTTTAAAAAATAAATAGAATATAAAATTCACGAAAACGTTATCAAATTTAAAAAAAAAAAACAAAGGAGAAAAAAAAAATCATCTTTTTAGATTTATAAAATAAAAATCATTTATATAATATTATTTTGAACCTTTACGTGGGCCAACAACTTTTTGAAAACATTAATGAACACACCAACCAATTAACGCTAGCGTGACAGGCTCATTTAAGGGATGTTTTGAAAATATATAGTTAAAAGTTAATTTTTAGACTTTTAATTAGGTTTTTTGATTTTTTTAAAAAGTTATTTAAGAAGTTAGTAAAAAATTATTTTACTTAATTAAATGACTAAAATATCCTTAGACATTTTCGAAAATAATCACTTTTTTCCATATAGCTCATTTAAATAACATAGAAAGTATAATTGTAATTTTACATGTAATTTTCAACTACCTTTCTAAATAATTTGATTACAAAAAAGTCATTTTGACTTTTTTTTGGCCCTAGCTGCAAAACATATTTTTTCTTTTATTCTCGAATGGATGGAACCTAATACACACAACACGACTCAAAATGAAAGCTATGGTCTGATGGTACGGTACCACAGTTAAAGCAAGGAGAAATTACAATTTCAGTAGTATTTCTATAAGATAATTATAAATTTATAAAAATATTTAAAATTTTAATTATTAATATTTTTCTATAAGATAATTATAAATTTATAAAAGTATTTAAAATTTTAATTATTAATATTTATAAAATTTATCATTATTTAAAAAAAAAATGTTAAACGTACATTGAATTATAATTTTTCCTTTAAAAAATCTCATTTCACATTATGATAATCATTGCATATAAAAATTTACCATATGATAAATTTTACACTTTTTTTTAGATGGGGTAATTTAAAGTTTTTATTTTTTGATTTCTTGATTTTTGTAATGTATGATTTCTACAGTGATTGTGGCAGATTTGGGCAGTCGGATGTGTCAAGGCAGCAACGGTATGTTTGTTTATTTTCCTTTTTTTGTCACTTTGATTTCTGTTTTTGATTTTGGGACGGGTGAGAACCAGTTTGTCTGGGAAGCAGATTAGACTAATAATTTTATTGACTTATTTAATTCATGTTTGTTTGTAACAAAATTATGGAATTG